TCCAATAAACAGAGCAGAATTCGAACAGTTTCTCTGTCAGTTACAATTCCATGCAGCCAACATTTTTGGTGCATCCATCTATAACCATGAGACTGACCAGATGTTTCCAGTTGCTGTTCAATGAAAGCTGCCACATCAGCCACACTGGTTTTGTTCTTTCGACGCCAGAGCTGCTTCTTGCTTAAAATCCTCTCAAGGGTGCGCTTGCTTAGTACAATCCCGTGAGAATCAGAGAGTAAATGAAGTATTTCCTCTGTGGTAAAGCCACGCTTAAAGTAATCATCAATGTAGTCACAATCCATCTCCTTGGAAAATTCACTGAAATGTTGCCTTGAGAAATGCTTGAAAATCTCATAATTATGACTTTGGTAAGTCGAAATTTCGACTTTTTATCTCATAATTATGACTTTGTAGATCAAAAAGAAATTTTTGTACTGGCGGAAACGGGCTTCCATAGGACTGAGTTAACTAATGATAACTCTCATCTTTCTCAAAAGGGTGTCTTGGGCACTTCGACTTGTATCTGTTGTCTACCGTTACCCATGTAGATTAAAACAGCTCGTGAAATTGCCAGATACGCATATAGTTTGCTAACTCATGAGCTAACCTGCAACCTAGCAGACTGTAACATTAACTTAGCTATTAGCTGGCATTAGGCTGAACTTTTATGACGTAACCAAGCGGATCGGAGATCAAGCCATGATATTTATGTAACGTTAAGATATACAATGTAGTAATCTTACCTGTTTATTTGGAGAGTTTCCAGGAAACAATGGTAAAGCCATGACGGTAATGTTTAAGACAGGGAGACTATTGTCATCGCACAACTGAACTGCTCCGAATTTTCAGCCGTCTGTTACTGGTTGCCATGGAAGCGTTTTGTTTGGGGGCGTCTCTTAGCAACGTTCGTAACGTAAAGAAATAGCGCAAAACGTTCAGGAAATAAAGAAAAAATTCTAAATGTTAATGGAAAAACCTTAACTGGAAATATTATGTCTTGAGTAAAACGTTTTAGCTGCATTAGAAATCACAAATTCTCACCGTTTTTAACCACATCCCTAAACTAAATACAAATATGTTTATATTTACTCTTTATGAGTAAATATAAAATCAGTAAAATCAGAGGTACAATTAAATGGAAGTAATAAACTCATACAAGACTAGGTCAAGAGTTAAAAGACTCATACCACTGCGCATTAAAATAAATGAAAAACAACCCATCTGATTTTTTTATTATTGTCAAACTTACATACCTGACAAACCACAGCGTTCAGCCCCTATAGCATCAATTTATTGATAAACAGAATACATAAAAAGTTGCAAGGAAGGCTGAAATGACATCAAACATGTATATGTAGAACATCTACAAAAGACAACAACCCACCATCTATCGGCATTTAAGAATAAAATTCAAGTTTTAACCCTGAAGATAACTGATTATGATGTCTGGAATCAAAAACTATGTGCAACACTGGGATCAATAGAATCCTAAGGGCACCACCTGCCGTGTGAATTTAACTGCTGCACTGTGCTTAACTGTGTGCAATCTTTACTTCTGGTATAATGACAGTTTGGCAAAGATAAATAAATAGAAACAACTGCAACATTCTGATGGCCTCTATACTGCTTCACATAACTGAACATGTTTCTTTATTTGGCCTAGAAATTGGAGTGTTTTAAGAGGGCCATTTAGGTCTACCCAAGAAATCCCACCAAATCAACAGTGTTTGTCATGGTAGAGCTACAGTATCACAGAAGACAAAAAGATGTGCAGCTTATGTCAAAACACACAGCTACAAGCTAATCTGAAGCTGGTTACTTTCTATCAAAACACCTGGAAACCACCCCACAATGTTTTATTATTTTTCCCTATAGTTCTTCATGACATCAGAGAAATAT